TACTAATATGTCACCTCTAACCTCAATAATCTAGTGCAGGAAGTGGAGGGGGGGTTAGGAGAATGGCCATATGCAGAAATTTCTACAATATAATGCTAAACGTAGGGGAAAACATAAGAACACCGCAGATGAGATGCTCTTCAGGTTCAGAGCAGAGCACGGTAACATCCAATTGGAGTAATTCAAGAAAAAAACCTTCCTTTAAAAAGGTGGACTATTGAACTATGAGCAACAAAATAAATATAGCATTTGATTTTTTCCCCAACAAATAAATATGCTGGAGTCCATACTTATGCCAAGATATATTTGAATACATAAATAAATGAGGTAGCTCTTCCTTACAGACTAATTCTGATTAATAAATATAGAGGGAATGGGGAATATATAAAATCAGAAAACATCACGGTAACAACTGTTGTAAGCAAAATCCACTGAGGATGTTAAAATCAGTGGGTGAAGATTTGAGGAGAAATAGCATACTATTATAGTCTCTTCCAAGATATATAATAAAAGGAGAAATAGTAACTGGAGGACCTTGAAGACACCAGTCTAAGTGATCAAGGTTGACATCTCTTGTAGTTAAGACATATCAACATCATGTACCCCCTGATATGATGCATTGGAAAGGACACAACATGGCATTTGTGGTATTCTTGCCAAAGATACAAAAATTTTATCATGAAAAAAACATTATATGGAAAAAATTGAGGGAAATTTTATGAAATAACAGATGAGTACTGATCAAAAGTGTCAAGATTATGAAAGATAAGGAAAGACTGAGGAATGGTCACAGATTGGAGTAGACTAAGGAGCTATTCAAGTGAATGAAATGTGGATCCTGGAACAGAATCTGATTTTCTTCTACTGTTTTTGAATTGTGAGTAAAGAGATTCAATTTGTGGTTAAGGAAAATTCATTTTAAAAAATTATGTATTTATTTTGAGAGTGAGGAAGCATGGTTGGGGAGGGGCAGAGAACGAGGGAGAGAGAATCCCAAGCAGGCTCTACGCTGTCGGCATAGAGCCTGACATGGGGCTCAATCTCACAAACAGTGAAATCGTGACCTGAGAGGACATCAAGAGTCATACACTTAACCAATTGAGCCACCCAGACACCACTAAAGAAAATTCCTTTGTCAATAGGGTTGAGTTCCTCAAGATAAAGGACCATAATTAGTTCACTTAATGTCTACAGCCCATTAGAGTGCACATGTTTCGTATCACTTCTCAATATTTATTGAATGAATGGTGAGAAAGGGAAATAGATACAGCAAGGGGCTGGAAATGAGGAGGCTATTGAACTAGACAGACAAGGAGGGCTGAATTTGAACTGAGGTGAAAGATGACGTGGATGGGATAGCTATGAGAGATACTGTAAAGGTTGCATCTAGAGAACCTAATAGATGATTAGCTTGAGGACAGAAAAAGTCAAGAAAGTTTCACATTTTTGAGCCTAAAGGTAACTCAGAGAATAGAGGAGAATATAGTATCTTTAACAGAAAATAATCTTAGACAAGTCCCTAAAACCATAATTTTGATGCCCTGATTTTGGCTTAATAATTTTTACAGGCCAATTCATCACTGGACAAAAATTCACAGCTGGGCTATGTAACTCATGTGTATATTATTGGTAAAAGACTAACTCTGATATCAAGAGGCATGGAAAATGATTAGCAAATTTGTGAATTTTCATTCTCTTAGCATTACTATTCCTAAGGATAAGTTTTTTTTTTTCTAAATACCCTTAATTTTTTTTTAGCAGTACCATTATAACTGAAATTAAAATGGATACCTAAAAGTAGGTTGCTGTAACAAAATCCTTAAACATGTGACATTGGCTTTATGACTAGTAGCTAGCATAGGCCAGAACGGCTTCAAGGAGATTGCAAATTGTTCCCCGGGAAGACAAAGGACACTATTATTAAAGACTGATGAAAGCATTACCCACATTATGTAATGACAAAGTTCGGCAACATTCTTACCTATAATAAAGAAGATGAGTATATTCTTTTTTTAATGGTTATTTTGAAAGACAGAGAGGAGAGGGGCAGAGAGAGAAGGAGAGAGAGAGAATCCCAAGCAGGCTCCTCACTGTCAGCACAGAGCCTAATGTGGGGCTCAATCTCACAAAACCTGAGATCATGACCTGAGCCGAAATCAAGAGTCAGATGCTCAACCAACTGAGTCACCCAGGCGCCCTGAATAGGAGTATATTGTTCATAAAACTGCAAATGTGGCTAGGAACACTTCTAGGCACTATTTTTAAAGTGCCAAATGTTTTCCTTTTAACTGTGTTTGGTAAGATAAAAATAGATGAACTGAAGAAAGACTTGTTAGGTTTTCAAGTAGAATATGGAAGAAAAATTTCCAATCCCAGAATTACTAGTTTAGAAAATAAAATTTGTTGTCATTCCCCAAATCCCAGTTCACAAAATATACTCAAAGAAAATTAAAACCTGAAGGGAATGCCAGAGCCCAGCCAGTAAAACATGGCCCCAGGGTCAAGATCAGTTTGGGGTATGGTTGTAAGACCCTTTGTTGGGACTTCAGAAAAATGTAATGGAGTACTTTGTATACCATCTGAGCTAGACTACAGAACTTCTAAGAAGCTAAGAACATGTCTTACAGACCCTTTCAATTAAAAAATTGGCCCTTCGGGAATCATAAAGACACGATTCTTATATTCTTTCTGTTACAAAAAAAGCGGGGAGGGGGGCTTTTAAGACTCTTGAAGGTGCTTTCCCATAGCTTAAGGGATAGAAGAGCCTGCTGAAAGGAGTATACAGGTATTGTTTTTGTCTAATGAAGATTTAATTTGATGCACAGAAGACCTACGTTTCTTAAAACAATTATACAAACTTGAGTCAAATGGTACAGAATTGAAAATTGAGGGGTCTCTGGAACCCCCACCAATACCCTCCTATGGACTGGAAGCAGACTGAGAAGCTACTCCACTGTAAATGTAGGCAATTTATTATGGAAAGAGAAGGATGCTTCAGAGGATAGAGTGAAGAGTCCAAGGACCAGGGGGAACCCAAAAACCATAGAACAATAGAACTCACTTGTAGGGAGCAGAACCTCCCTGGAGTCAGAGGAAATGGCAACATGTGCCCAGCTGGATTTGAAAATTGCTATGGACTGGTGACTTCTAAGGGCCACCTAGCTATCTCCCTTTTTCAACTGGGGTATCTATTGCAGTTGTTCTGTGCTTACTATCATTTTTAAGTTAGGAGTGTGGACCACAGATACTTTGTCTATTAAAGGTCTCTGCAACCCAGGATCTGTACCTGAAGAGCCCCATCCACACATGCACCAGATTTAGATGACCAGACTACATCATCCTGGACTTTGAGCTCTGTCATAACGGTATGAGGCTTTAGGGGTTTTAGGGAAGAGGCTATTTTTCATGTAGGGTCATGGACTGTTGGGGTCAGAGGACAAACGGTGGCAGCTACTTTCCAAAGATGGTCCTCAACCATTTCTTCCCTTTTTGAATGCATGTACCACTCTTTATAACAAGAGGTAGAGCTAATTTTCTATCCCCTTAAATCTGGGCTAATCCTGTATCAGGTTTTGACCAAGAGCATGAAGCAGAAATGCCATTCTTAACCTTCCAAGCCCAGTCCTTAAGATCACTGACAGCTTTTACTTTCTGCCTCTTGGAATCCCCCAACACATGGAGAGGTCATGCAGAAGAAAGGAGGTATTCTATGGCCTCAGCTGAGTTCCTCAGAAGAGCCTGCACTGCTGCCAGCCATGTGAGTGAGCAGACTTATGTTCTAACTCAACCAAGTATCCCAGGGCTGTGGCCCTAGACACCATTCCATGAAACAGAAGAACAATTAAGCTGAACCCAGTTAAACAAAAGAATCCCAAAGATTAAACAAAAAAATTAGGGGTACTCGGGTGGCTCAGTCGGTTAAGCAACTGACTCGGTTTCAGCTCAGGTCATGATTTCACGGTTCCTGGGTTCAGGCCCCACACTGGGCTCTGTGCAGATGGTGCGGAACCTGCTTGAGATTCTCTCTCTCTCCCTCTCTCTCTGCCCTTCCTGCATCTCTCTTTCTCTCTCTCTCTCTTAGAATAAATAAATAAATTTGTTAAAAATTGTAGCTTTAGGCCTTAAGTGTTAGGGTGATTTATTACGTAACAATAGATAAATGAAAAAGAAATTGTATTCTGAAATTGGATCCTGGGGCGTCTGGGTGGCGCAGTCAGTTAAGCGTCCGACTTCAGCCAGGTCACGATCTCGCGGTCCGTGAGTTCGAGCCCTGCGTCGGGCTCTGGGCTGATGGCTCAGAGCCTGGAGCCTGTTTCCGATTCTGTGTCTCCCTCTCTCTCTGCCCCTCCCCCGTTCATGCTCTGTCCCTCTCTGTCCCAAAAATAAATAAATGTTGAAATTGGATCCTTAGTCTATAATAGATTTGTAAAATTCAAACATGTTTATTGAGACCAATGTATTCATTTTCCATTATTAAAATCCTATGCAAAGCAAAACCATAATTATAAAAATTAGCATAAAAGTACAAATATAATAAAATCATATAATAAAATTACTTGTGACCTGCATCTCCCTAACTTCATTCTGCAGTCAAAATATATATAAGCTCTCTTTACACCAGCCTACAAAGTATTAGAATTTAGTTATCTGTTGTTTGCACTGTGCTGAAAACAAAAATTTATTTTCCTGAGGAAATTTTACTTATAAAGAAGTTCTAAATTCCTTCATATTAAGTGCTTTTTGCTCATATTTTGTGTATAGTTTATATATAGTTTTATATAGTTTACAATGCCCGATTTACGAGCTGGGTGACTAGACTAGATGTTGACCAACTTATGACATAATAAATGATGTACAACATTACTGTTTAAATTCTGAGTTTGTAACACCTGTATTTCCCCCATATTTTTCAGTTTTCCATATTTTTTAATACAACATCATAGGGTCACCTACCCTGTCGCTCTTGAAGTGTAATGACTCACGTCCTTTATATCTTCCAGAGCTAGGAGAGGTTTTGGCCTAACCCTGTCAGAGAGATCGGCTGCTTTAGAAGTTGAAGAGGCAGAGAAAACTGGCACATGACCTCGCACCAGGCCAGAATTTGAAAGCTCTATTTCCAGGACGAGTCAAACCTAGCTTCAGAAAACAAGGCTACCTGTCACAAAGTATGCCAAGCAAAAGCCAAAGTAGAAGAAACTTTAAATCTAACCCCAAAAGTAAGTTCACAGTGCTAAATACAATGGCCAATGGCCATTTTACTGAACCTATGGGCAGTATTTCCAAAGCCGATCCGTCCATCCTCCTTGAAACACTTTCTCCACTTGGCCTGGAAGATAACACTCCCTCTTATTTTTTTTTTTCTCTTTCATTGGTCACTGGCTGTTTTATCTCAGGAGAAAGTGCTGATTTCTGCTCTTGTCCTGAATTTCTTAATATCCATGTGTCTTAGGGCTCAGCACTTGGTCCTGTGTCTTCTCTCGCTCATTCTCTGTTATCTTATCCAGTTCTGTTGCCTTAAATACTTTCCCACAGACTGGCAATCCCCAAACCTATCCCCAATCTCTAGCACTGATCTCTCCCTGGAACTTCAGACTCTTAACCACCTCCTACTTGAGATCTGCATTCGGACAGCTAACACGCATCTCAACCTCCTGTGTCCAAATTGAGTGAGAACTTGGGTCTCTCTACCAAACTGTCCTTCCCATGTCAATAAATGGCAACAATATATTTCTAGTTGCTCAGACCCAAACCTCAGGGTCCTCCTGGATTGCTTTCTTTACCCTAGTCATTACATTCAAATCCTGGGCAAATCTTGTTGGCGCTTTGGTCAGAATATATCCAGAATCTGACCACTTCACGCTGTTTTCAAACCAGCATCATCGCTCCCCTGGATTATTCCAATGACTTCGGAGTTGGTCTCCTGCTCCCACCCTGTTCCCTCTACAGTCTGTTCTCCACACAGCAGCCAGGAGGAGGCAGTTAAACTGTAAGTCTGTCAGTTCTCTTTCAAAACCTTATAATGGCTCCCCACTGTTTTCAGCCTTAAAACCTTGCATTGGCATTCACGACCCAATGTGGTTTGGGCCATCCATTACCTCTTTGATTTTATATCCTATTGCTCTCCCCCTGGATCATTCTACTTCAGCTGCATAGGCTGCCTTGCTCTTCTGGGACTTGCCAGGCATTCACTTGCCTCCTTTCTTGGGCACTTGCTATTTTCTCTCTTTGGAAACCTCCTCCCCTAGATACCCACGCAATTGCTCTCTTACCTCTTTTAAGTCTTTGCTCAATATCCCTTTTTCAGCATGGCTTGTCCCAGTGGTCCTGTTCATAACTGCAACCCACACCAGATTTTGACACTCCCTATTCCTTTTCAAGTTTTATTTTTCTCCATAGCATTTACCACCTTCTAGCATCCTGTGTAAATTACTTCCTTTTTAACTCTCTGTCTTCCCCCAGCTAGAAAAAAAGAACCCCAAAGGCGGAGACTTCTGTTTTGATTTTTTTTTTCATTGATGTATCCTTACCTCTTAGAACAACCTGACATACTGCAGGTGCTCAATAAATACTTGTTAAATGAATGGTGATTCCATGTTAATGAAAGTTCTTTATCTCATTTTTCCCTCATAAATTTATCTACTAGCTGCTCAAGAAAATATGTGGGGAAAAAAAGGGTCAGATTTAGGAAAATAAGTCTCTGTCTTTATAGCATCTTATAAAATGCCAAGTTATTGCTGGAAATTTGGTGAGCCACACTGAAAACTGATTTAAAAGAAAAAGAATAAAATATACAATGGAAACTAAACTACAAATGCTGCTTCTAAAATCAGCCTTCAAAATACTTTACATACGTAAAGCCATTCCATTAACAGTCCTGGCCTCTCCTCAGGAAACAGCCTATTCACAGCCTTACACTTTCTGTCTCAAGAGAGTTTCCTCAAAATGATAATGCAAAAAAAAAAAAAAAAAAAAAAAAAAAAAAGAAGAAGAAGAAGAAAGAAAATAAAGAAAAAAGACAAACAGTTTGACATTAACTTAGATTTTCTCTTAGCAAAACCTAATCTGAGTTTTTTTTTTTATCAACTGTTAGTATCTTAACGGAAGATGTTTTAATATCAGGCCATGAAATGAAGGTTAAAAGGCTCTGCAGAAGGCACTAATGTTAGCTCTTTATTTGGCTTTTCTGAACAAATACTTGGTCACCTACAGTGACTGGACCTAAAGACTTCATGTGCCAACTTTGGGGCTCAAATCTCTTTTTCAGGCACCCCTGCACATTGACTACAATACTTCCCATGGATGTCTAGATCAGTAAACATGGCACTTCAGCATGGAAATCCCTGTGGGGTTCTGGAAGTCCTAGGGGATGAATAGAGTTGATGAATAGAGTCCAGGTTTTTCCCAAGGAATATATTCACCCTTAGTGTCTAGATATGTGTGTGCCTTGCTGAGTGGGGAACAGCTGGGTGGCGGTGATATACATATTTATGGTGGTCTTCCTTTTTATTCCCTGTGGAATAACTTTGGTGAAAGTGTCCAACCATCTAGAAAATCATAATAATTTGAGTTTAAAATGTCTAACATTTGAAAATTAGACCTTCAGAAAACTTTTCTTTTGGGGGGAAAAAAAGGGTATCTCTTCAAAGCAAATTACTTGTTTTGATAAAAATACATGTGGGTAACTTCTCATTGAAAACAAGTAAGTGTTGCTCTCTGGCTTCAGACCTTCCTCAGACCCACTTTCCAAATACGCCGGTTCCTTGTGCTCCTGTGGGAATCTCCAGAACTTGTATGCTTTCCAGACCTACATCCCAGGATGCACGGCCTCCCGTGGTGTTACCTGGGTGGTCCAGAGTCTCCAGCAACAGCAGTGCTCCATTTGTGGAGCTTCAAATTTTTCCAAACTGACTTTTTTTTGTTGTTGTTGTTTTTGCATCTAATCTGGTTTAACTACTCATTTTTCTTTCTGGGGTTAGAAAGAATGCTTTTTTTTGGTTCAGTGCATTACATCTGTCAATCAACTTGAACTTTGACAAGGATCTTCTGGAGACACAACTGGCCCTAACCTAAAGGAAGAATCCTAGCACAGGGGATTTAGGTGCCAAGAATTGATGTGTTACAGTGAAAGGAACATTAGATTAGGAGTAAGAAGACCTGGGCTCCAGTCCCAGTGCCATTACTTATTAGCCATGTGGCCTCAGCAAGTCACTTAAACTGTTCAAGCATCTGTTACTATTTACCCTATTTGATGTGCTGGAGTTGAGACTAATATAATAATATATTCAAATAATATTATAGAGTTCTTTACAAACCTAACACCATATTATTGACTGTATGGATGGATTTGAGGGTGCAGCCCTTTTGGTGACCTTCACATCACACTGTCTATGTGCTGCCTACACCACCCACATTTAGAGCTGCACCTATGTACGTGTGTCAAAAAATAGACTTTGAATAACACAAGTGATTGCCATGATCACGGAGGAGCTATTATGAAAAATATTACTTTGATTAAAAATGTCAGTTTTGAGAAGCTTTTAATATCTTCCACCACTGCTCAACTGACATCAATGACATTTCAATATTAGTTCCTAAAAGTTAGTTTTCATTTATATCTTTATTTAACTGAGCTTTGCATACTTCCAATTTGTAAAAGACAATGGCTTTCAGTAATACTTTAGCTCACAAAGAAATATGTTTGCAAATTAACCCATCAATTTCTGTATATTCTGGACAGATGTAAACATTTTCCTAATTGTTGAATTCTTGGACATTTTATCATATGGATCCTAATAATACCACGCCCTACTTATAGGACTAAAGAGTACTATTAAGTATTAAGATTTTCTTCATAAAGTGTGCATTTATTTTTAACTATTTCCAAAGAAGGTTACCATTTGAAATTGGGTCTTCCATAGTAATTCCATGGTAACATTGGGATTTTAATGTCCACCTCAGAAAGTTAGAGGATTTGTTACAAGACCAAGAATGAATGGCATTCACCCACTCAGCTATTATCTACAGAGCATCTTTATTTATAGGATTCTTTGCCTGACACTGGGCATGTATCAATGAATGTATTCACAGAGCTTACATTCTCCACTATAAAAAATATAATCCCAAATGAATATGTAACCAAATGAACTCTCTGAAGCCTTGGATGAGTAGGTGTGTATTTATGTGTGTATACAAATATACAAATGTATGTGTGCATACATAAATGTATTCTATGCTTTCTGAAGCTGAGATCAAGTGTATTTTAGGATAAAGTGGGAGGGGAGAAGGGGGTTATCAGTTCTCACATATAGAAAATATTCCCTTAGGGATTTACAGTGGCAATAAAAGTTATTGAGTCACTATAGTTTCCCCCCACCTCGAAATTCCATCCCCCTCCCCAAGCCTCTCAAACCGGAAACCCAACACTTTCTCTCAGCACAATAGTTAATGATGTGTAAGTAACCATGTGATATTGGAGCAAAAGTAACCTCAAGCTCTCATCTTAGAAGGCTTGGATTTCATTTCTTTATGAGAAGGACCTACTAGTTGAAGCACCACTCCCATAATTTAGGATGGTATGTCAGTTTCAGGTTCTTCACTCATCATATAATTGCTATTTGAGTTTTCAGATTTAAATGTCAGCTCTACCTTACCACTTCTCTTCATCTGCCATCTCATTTGCCCCTTTCTCTGTTTCTAAACCACATGGAGCTCCTTTTCTATCTGTATCATCAACCCTTTTCATTGGCTCTCTACTCCTGATTGCTATAAAATCACTTCTCATCTTTCTCATCTCTTCTGTTTTTATCTCCAGATTTTCCAATGCCTAATATGAAAATGGCAGTTCATTCTCTTGAAGATATGCATTATCAGAATAATGCAACTGGGTAACCATTCTTTAAAGAGACCACTGACCAGACTGTAAGTCCCGGTACCCTCCCCATCTGACATATTTTGGCTGGTTTCAGGGCACAGATAATAAATGGCTCAATGAATGCCAACTCTACTGTAAATAACTCTTGTTAATCTTACTGACAGTGAGAAAATAAGGTTGTCAGAAGGCAAGTTGGAATCCCTAAGAACAAATAGTCCTAAACATATTTTTGAGCCATATTACTTCCCACATTATTTTTCTTGGGCTCAGTTTTTCTTATCATTTAAGTAAATAATTTCTAAATCATACGGTATTTTATAGTTTTGAAAATATTTTCTCATATATTATCTCCTAAGAGATATGGATGATGATGGTGAAGACAATGACAATAATTAACTACATCTATTTCCCACAGCAGCAACTTGTGAACCTGTATGACTTGCCCTTGGCAGTCCACCTAAGTAGCGGGTTAAGAAATGAAATCCCAACCTTTTAAGATGAGAGCTTGGGATTATTTTCACTCCAATAGCACATGGTGGTGCGCTAGCTATTTATACATCTCTCGGGTCACACTATCTCAAATATAAGGTAATGCATTAAAATCCATCTCTTGTCTAGTAAATGGAATCCACCTTTATTGACCTCTGTTGTATCTGATGAAGGCAGTAATTATCAAGAGGAGAGATGATGGAACCAAGCTACCTGGGTTCAAATTCTCCACTCATCTACTTCCCAGCTGCATAACTTTGGATAATTTAGACAATTATCTTTTCTGGGACTTGGTTATCTCAACTGTAAAATGGGAACAATAGCACCAGTCTCACAGACTGCTTTAGGGATTAAATGATATGATTCATATTAAATAATAAATACTAGCTGTCATTGTTATTATTGCAAGAGCTGGTAGTATATCTTCTGTAAGCTTTCTCGAAAAATTAGCACTCAATATGTAAGTCTCTTGGTAGATCCAACCCCATGACAATGTCAAGTAGAGTCCATTGATAATTTAACCGATGTATATTAACTTATAATATAGAATACAATAATTTACAAGTCCATTTTAAAATTTTAGTTAATTAAAAAAATCATCTATCCCTATAAAACAAACAGGCAATTTCATATTTTGAAACCAAACACATAGTGGCAGCCCAGTAAGGATATGTCCAATTTTGTCACATCTCTCTTTCTAGAATCTTCATTCTAATTATCTCCTAACAATAGGCCTTTGAGGAATTGTTGTTAGGCACCACAACTATTTTGACTATGGCATCCTATTTTATCATGACTCTGTGTTATGCATAGTAATAAACCCATGTGGTCAATTAGGCCAGAAATGGTGACTTGATGTTGACAATGTCGCATGTGTGTCTTCTGGAGTTACTACTATAAATTTATATATGTAATAAAAATGTTTTATCTATGCTAATGCAAACTAAAGATATTGCTTTATGAAATCATTATGATCTTGACTCATCTTCTGATCTGGACTCCAGAATTCCTTAGTTGTATTATTTAGGGTAAGTTGATTTTTCTGAGCTGAGAGTTTTTATCTACAAAATGGAGATATTAACTTTACTGAAATCCCTGGAGAATTACCTCATATTTCAGATTTGATTATGGATGTAAAAAAGTGTTAAAAGCTGTAAAATGATGCATAAATATATGGCTTCTATTGGTTTAAATGTGTGCAACAGAATTATTTCTAACATGCAGGTCAAGTTGGTAAGTAGACCTCTTTCCTTTTATTTCTAACTTCCCAAAGTTACAAAGAACACTTTTTCCCCTTTTAAATAAATGCCTTCTGGTGGCATTTCTTTTAAGAGCAAAAAAACGAAGGTGCCTATGGCTGCCGGAAAAAAGATATGGTCATTTTTTTTCTGGTTTTCTTTATCTTTTCCACCCAGAAGGCTAACGAGAAAACTGGGTGCTCATGCTTCATCATGCTTCCATTTCTGCACATTTTAGAATGACTTGCTATCACTCCTGGCTTTTAAAGCCCGAAGTCTACCCTAAAGATCTGACAAAGAGAACTAGAAATATTTTGAGCTTGTGAATAGATTCCCCCAAGTGTTTTCATTTCTTGATCATCAAATTGGAAATGATTGGCTAGACCAATTCAATGTTTTATTCTCTGTGGCACTTAGCTCTATAACCCCAAGGTTCTGGGGAGAGTTTCTATTAATAGCCCTTAGACATTGCATCTAATTTACATTGCTTGACTTAGCAATTAGTTATACTTGTCTCCGTCCTTTAGCCCAAATTTCCAGTCTTCAACTATGGCAAGACGAACATCAAGAAATCATTTTCTGTTAGGATTCAGTAAAAGAGAGCTAACGCAAGAAATAATTGGGTAGTAAGCAGAGTTTGTCTTCTGCCTATTCTTGAATCAGTAAATGGTTTCCTGGAGAAAATTTTGAGTCTTGGATAGTTAATTCTTGATATAAAGCCATTTGCTGTGTCTATACATTTAGTCTTTGAAAGTCTCATTTAACCCCTTGTAGTTCTCCAATTCTGACATTTGGCAACCGGAACTCATGTTTTCAAATGACAGAAAGGGACCCTGCTCTCTTAAGCAGAAAAGATTTTTATAAGACTTTTAACAAAATTTCACAGAGTTAATGGAAAGCTGGAGACCAAAGTTTGGGAACCAAATAAGAACTAGGATAGTATCAGAGAATCATAAAGAACAAGTAAAATACTGTCTGTTTGTTGGAACTGTCTTAACAGGAAGCTACAAGATTCATATGCTCCAGATTCAATGTTCCAGGTAGAAACATTTGATTAGACTTCAGCTTGTCATGTTCCCTTATCACTTTGGATGGCAGGGAAATGCTGAAAACATAGTTGCTTCTTAATAAATGTTGAATTAGTTATGTGGAATTTAAGATACAAAACAGATGAATGTAAGGGAAGGGAAGCAAAAATAATATAAAAATAGGGAGGCGGACAAAGCATAAGAGACGTAAATACAGAGAACAAACTGAGGGTTGCTGGAGTGGTTGTGGGTAGGGGGATGGGCTAAGGATGAGCATTAAGGAAGACACTTGTTGGGATGAACACTGGGTATTATACATAGGGGATGAATTACTGGAATCTACTCCTGAAATCATTATTGCACTATATGCTAACTTGGATGTAAATTAAAAAATAAAAGAATAATAAAAACATAGATAAACCTTGAAAACATTATACTAAGTGAAAAAAAAAACCAGTCACATATTTTATGATTCTCTTTCTATGACATATCCAAAATAGACACATCTTTAGAGACAGGAGGTAGACTATTAGTTGCCTAGGACTTGGGCAGTGATGGATTGGTGGGTGGGAGCTAACGTGGGGAGTTTCTGAGATAATAAAAATATGATAAATTTGGTTGTGATGATGGATATACAATTCCGTGATTATACTAAAAGACATTGTAGTGTACCCTTTAAATGGGTAAATTGTATGGTATATGAATAAAGCTCTATCTCAATAAAGCTGTTCTATCTCAATAAAGCTGTTTACAAAAAGAAAAGAAATAGAAAAAAAGAAATATTGAATGAGTGAATGAATGAAGTTATTGGATTTGTAATCATAAAAATATCTTCTGCTTGAGCCACTCCTAGTTGCCAAGACCACATTCTGAATTGCATTTGATTTTGTCACACTTTCAAAGGGCTAATGTGAATCATAAATCATTTTTTTTCTGTCTCAATTCAGTGGGTCATTATAACTAACTCCACTTTATATCAGCCCTTGTTTATCCTCTTCCAGAAGGGAGGAGGCTGGACTGAGCTACTTGATACTGGCAAGAGGTAGTATGTAATTTGTTAACTTAAAAGGTCTGATTTTTATTTTCCTCAAACGTCTCTTCAAATTTCATAGGAGTAATGGGCACAAGAAGTAACAGGAAAGCATTAAGGAGAACATTCGGAGTTTATTAAGTGGGTTTGGAATAAAAATATGTATGAAGAGAAGCAAGAAGTATCCGAAGTTGATTTTTTTAATGGTGTTTTGCTCTATCTCAGTGAGGGTTCTGGGAGTAGATCATCCTGTACCAGACACTCACCTTCTACCTCAATCAGACTTGCTGTTCACACAAGCCCAAACTGCACCATTTATTTTGAAAAAATATACTAAGCCTATACTGAGTTTTATCCACAGTGACCATTCCAGATGACTGCCCCCTGGTGAGAGAGACAAGACATTTTCTCTTCTCCATTATGTACTATCACCGGGTGAGTTCATTCAATCCTCAGGCTCTAAGTACTATCTCTGTACCAATGACTATCAGCTTCTTACCACCAGCCCTGAAACACTCCACAAATTCAGGCTCATATTTCTAGCTGTCTGTTATCTCCAAAAGTAACATGGCAAAAACAAACAAAAACAAAAAACAAAACAAACAAACAAAAAAGAAAGTAACATAGCAAAGCAAACTCTTGATTTTCCCCCACGTGTGCTCTTTCCTGACCTTCCAACCTCACCAAGTTCTTTAACCCAAAGAAGTATATATAAAGAAGTAGCTTCTAACATCAAAGACAAACTAGATTTTGTCAGTTCTCGGTGTCTAAGGGCACACACTTGTATGCCTGCAATATGACAGTATGATTAAAAAGAAGAAAATAAAGGGTTTTTGAGGAGTAGCATTAAGTCTGTATCCCATGGTCATTTGCCAATTTTCACCCCAATTTGTACTCTATCAAGCAGAAATAAATACATGCCCGTCTATATAAAATCGGTATTAATTTTATGTTTTAAGTTGTTTCTTGGGTGTTCTTTCAATTCAACTATAATTTTATGCTATCAGAAACAAAAACAAAAATTCAATTTTGCCAAGTTAAGATGGATAAAGTTATAACAATACTGAACTGCCAGAGAAACTGGGTGGCTCAGTCAGTTAAGCGTCCAACTCAATTTCAGCTCAGGTCACTATCGCAAAGCTCCTGTCCATCTCAGCTGTGCTTTCAGCACAAACTCTGCTGGGGATTCTCTCTCTCTCTCTTTCTCTCTCTGCCCCTCCCCCAGCTCACGCACTTTTTCTTTCTTT